TGGGATGTGAGTATAGGTGTGGCGTGTGGTGCGTAGATGTGGGGTGTTGGTGTGCGTCTTACGTTCACACACCCACACCCATACACCCTACTGTGCTAATTTTCCATCCGATAAATGGTTTCGATGACATTGTAGCGCATGCTGAGTTTTCGATAATCTTGTGGATATGTTTGTATTATCAACTCTAATGATTTATGTAAACATTCAAGACTTGAATCTAATTCTTTTTTGTCTTGGAGCACTAAACCGAGTGAATAATACAAACCGATAAGTGAAGGATTATCGGAAGGGAGTTCATTGAGCAATCGGCGATAAAACTTCTCGGCTAAATCGAATTTATTCATCCGACGTAGAATCCGACCAAATTTAATGAGATTAGTTTCATCATCACCATTCCCATAGTGCTTCTTCATATATTCAACCAGACTTGTCAAATCATGCTCATTATCGCCCCACAATTCCAGTCGAATTATCCAAATTTGGTCATTGTTTCGACGAACATCTCTGAGACGAAAAAATGGAACCAACCATAAAGAGAACTTCTGATTCATGACCAAAGTTACTGTATGAACTTATGTCAGCAAATGGTTTTGTTGCTTCAAGGGTGTAGGTGTGGGTATGGGTGGGTATTGTTCTTTCCTCCATCCACACCCACACCCTCGAATTTCCCCACTCGTATTGACTGCGACATCGAGTCAGAAAAGAGCAAATGTTTCCAAATTATCGTCATATGTATTATAATTATTATCCTATGCAACAGCCGTAGCCATTTTTTGTTGCTACTTCTCAGACTACACTTTGTAGGAGTAAGTTTCGTTTGTTGCTTCGTTCGTTCTATTAGATAAGCTTTGCAGAAAAAGAATGACACACTTTACCTTTTCAGTCTCTTCTCACATTAGTTTTTTTGTGAAGTGATTTTATTGTAATTTTATGATAGAGAACGAAACTAAATACGCAGAATAGGCAAAACTCACCTTTTCGCTAATAGTTACAATCGCTTTTTTTTTGTTTTATCCTCATGATTTCTACAAAAATCTCGTTTAACATAAAATCTAGAAAAATGTTTTTCTTCCGAGTTACTTGAAAGTATTCTATGTTAATCAATCATAGTATTTTTACACGTTATTTAAGAGTTCGAAAAAAGTGATGACGGATTTCAATTATTTTGACTTTTTATTTTTGTCATTTAGACTCTTGCAGAAACAAGAGATATCTTATTATCGTAAATATTAAAAAAAAACTAAGATGACTTTATATCACAAATCACATTTTATCTTATTATTTCAGTTTAAGAAGGATGGATGTGGGTCATCTTTATATTTACACCACACAAACTCACATCTGTCTTTCGATTTTTTTGTACATTATTTTAGTTGTATTCATCCATCTTTTAGTAAAAAACTGGCATATCTCATACATATTTTCTTTAAATATTTTAGAATAAGCAAGAAAATATTTTATCTCAATGCACGATGTATTTTTCTCAAAAAAGAATTCAAGATTAATCAATGCTAAATAAACTATATTCCAAAGATTTTTGACCTATCTTGTATTGTTCTTGTATTCTTGATAATATTAAAAAGATCGATTAAAACTTAGTATTCAAAAGCCGAATAAATGACTTTTATCCAAAGAAGAAAAGACTAGCTTCTGACTATTTCAATTAACCCCGTATGTTAGGTATATACTTCGTATTAATAAGAGAAAGATTCATATTATTCACTAATAAGGCATAATATAATCTTTCAAATCGAACTATTTCTTACAAGCAGTACACATTCTTGCATTAGAAATTCATTTTTTTTTTCTTTATATGTATATTCAAGAAATTTCATACAGATTCTGTCGACTTCTTCATAATACATTTTAAATATTCTCTTATCAAAAACCGTTTTCAACATTCAATCTATGTATTCATTGCATAAGAGTGAATTAATCCGATTTACAATTTTTTTTATTATTAAATTGCAAACAACAAAAAAGTAAAAGAACTTATACACCATTAGTATGAACACCTTCAACTTGTTCAAGATCTTCAAACATATTTATAATTTGTTTTAATAGAATTTTATCACGTTCATTTAATGGTACAGTTACTTTAGGAATAAATTCTGAACCATCAGATGTTACTGTATAACCACCTTGAGTTAAATTAGCTTTCATTTGACCATAGAATGTTGGTGGACCAAGAAACTATTCAAATTAAAAAAAACGTTTAAATTTGATCAATTTTTAATAAAATATCAACGTACTTTCCATACTTCTCGTTCATCATCATCATCATCAATTGCTTGAATAACTTCTTCAGCATTAATTTCAATCGCTAATTTAGTACCTTTCTCTTCGTTTGTATTTGATTTTTCAATACAAGCATAATCACGTTGATCAAAATATTCAGCAATTTGTCCACTTTTAGCTATTTCAGGAATACTTTAATATAAGCAAAACAAAAAATAATAATAAAGTTGAAAATTAAATTATTACAATATATACCCAATTTTAGCTGCATTTTTATTTAGATAATTAAATGCACGTTTTGAATTACCAGTCATAACTTCAGTAAGACATAAAGCTCGACCAGGACCAATAAATTCAAAAATAACTTGTTTCATATTATCTTTTTGAGCAATCTATATATATTAAATTAATTCAATTAATGAATTTTTGAAAAAAAAAACAAAACTTACAGCTCGTTTAATTGTTCGATCGATTGTTTCTTTTGGCATATTATTTTTACGACATTCTTCTAATGTTGCACGTAATACAGCATTATATTGTGAATCAGTAACATTACCATTCTCTTAAGCAAAATGACTTAAGTTTGTAAAGTTTTATTATCGAAAAACTTCTATGGAGTACGAACTTCTAATAGAACCAAAAAAGAACATGTATTAAATAAGACTATTGTCTATCATTTCTAGAAAATTTTTCAAGTTTGACTTTTTTCTTTTTTTTACATGAAAGAAAGAAACACAATAAGTAAGTTGAATTTTTGGATTAAATTTCATATCGTCAGAATGTTTGAAGAATTATTTACGCTAACAACGAATTAATCGATGAATCAGCTGAGTATCGATGAAAAATTTTGACAAATCAAAACCAATAATTGAGTATTTGATAAGCCTAATTCTAGTACGAAATGCAAATTAGACTAAACTAAGTAAAGATATCAGATTTTCTTCAAGCTTTCTATATATATTTATCGTTAAAAAGCAACACTGATAACTTTTTTTTAAAGATTCCCCTCAAGAATCGATTTCGGACCGAATACATTCACATCAGATGAAATGTTCCGGATATGTTAAGACTATAATGAAGAAACCACAGTGTAACGCTGGTTTATGTTAAACTCTTATTTTTTATGCAAAGAAAATAGAGCGCAAACTGAATAGATCGAAAAACTCTGAAACAATGATTATCTAATTATAGAAGTAAATTTTCACGTAATAATAAAAAAAAAACGTGCTTTGCCAAGTACTTCAGCTTCACATGGTCTTTCAAAGAAAAAAACAAGCAACTTGTTACCATTAAGCTTTTCAAGAGTTATAGAATGCACGCTTAGAAAAGCATTAGCAGACAAAGCTTTGCCCTTTTTTCTGAGAAAAGCATATTTTTCAAGCAGCAGATGATGAAAATCATCGAAAATTCTAGCATTCCGTAGGTTCTGAATTCTTGGAACTCTCATAAGTACAACTTCACTCATGAAACTCTTGGAAGGATGTGGGTTTCTGTTCTCTTTACGTGCACACCCTCTGTGAATGAAGTTGCACTTTCAATTGTTCTATGAATTCTGAACTCATGGAATCCAGACAACATGCCTCTTTGTTATCTAATATTTGAATACTTACGTCGAATAACTGTCACAATTTTACTAGATAATTTTTCGATAACGCGTGATTTTATTTGATCATTAGCAGCTTTAGTTTTTGCAGTATTTTGCCAATGAGCATGCCCAGCATATCGTCGAGTATCATCTATATATATACATATAGTGAAATTCATTAGCAACGTATTCATGCAAATCATGTCATTGATTCTTTCTTTTTTTTCTTTTACATACAGTAGATTAATTCTACTGGTAGTAAAGATCTAGCTGTTATATAAATTAATCTTAGCGTTAATGAACAATATCTAACTAAGTTTGATATACTCATTGAAACGAAGTATCTAAAAGAATGAATAAATAGTTCTGCATATATTTCGGAGGACAAAAAGAAAGAACTTTTAGACACATCAAATTTTGGTTAGATTACACACCATAATAACAACAAACAACTGTAACGAACACCAGAGGAAAATTGAGGTATAACTAATGGTTTTGTTTTCAGAAAGAATACAGATCATTAAAAAAAAATTATGTGTGCGTGTGTGCACAGTGAGAAAAAGAAGAGACTATGTATGATAATAAATAAATCAGATACAATGTGTCCAGTTTTCTTGCTGTTTTAATGGAATGAAAAAAAGAAAAAAAAATATCAAACACAGACAACAACGCATGCGCACAATCAAAGATCATAGATATAGAGAGAGAAAGAAATAGAATATAAGAAAGTTAAAGTTATCATAATCGTTAATATATATATATATTTTTCTTTTAAATCATTAATTATTTTCCACTTGTTTGTTGTTGTTTTAATTGAAGTAAAACACTTCTATAACGTGTTAAATCTTTTTGTGCACGATTATTTTTTGGATTAAATTCACATAAACTTGTTATTTTATCCCAATCACTAACTTTACCATTTGATATTATTGATGTATTACGATTATTGAAAAGATCATCTTCTAATGTACGATTATTTGAACGATTTTGTCCTTTTGTACGTTCTAATTGTTCAGTACGTTGTTTATAAAAATCATCTAATTCTTTTTTAGCTTGTTCACGCATTTCTTTACGTTTTATTTCTTCTTCTGTATCTTTTTTATTAATACGTGTTGAAAATTCTTCTCTCCATTTTCGAATTTTTTCCGGTTCATTCATTTGTTCACTAAAATCCGATAATGATTGATATGGTGAATCACGTGATGGTGTTGGAGAATAACTTCCACCTAGATTTACATTCGGTGAATATACACCTAAAATTATTATTTCATTGAGAATAAAACGAAACAAGAGAAAAAAAACAACAAGATAAGAATTATTATTACCGTTTGTACGAAGATTACTAGTATTTGAACTTGTATCAAATTGATCAGTAAATATATTAGCATTTGTATCACCTGTAATGTCCGCTAATTCACGTTTTTCACGTTCAAGAAATTCAGCAGCAGGATCTTCTTCATTAAAATTATAGAAATTATCGGATGTACCATCATCAAGATTATTATTACGAGCATTAAATGGGTCGTCAAAAGCCATAATATATTATAGAGAAAAGAATAATCTTTAAAAGAAGAATAAGAAAATGAATGATTAATTGAGATTTATAGCTTCGGAATGACGTCTACTAGGTGCCTATTTTTTTTCTTCTTTTTTTATTATTTATTTGTTTTGTTTATTTGCTCATTTTCTCGATCAATCGATGTTAAATAAAAATAAAATAACCAATCAAATAAAAATATAATTCAGATGTCACTAGATATTTATCATTTTTGTTTAAGATAATTTTATTATTATTTATGACAATGATTAGAAGCAAAATGATATTATATTAATAATTGAATTATATTGAATTTGAGGGATAATATTAAAATAATAATTGATTAAATTATAATAATAAATCGTTGTAATCTTGAATAGATTTGTTTGTTTTTTTTTCTTCTCATTTTTTTAAACGATGTTTTATGATTTTGATTCAAATTATTTTTCTTGATAATAATTTATTTATTAAGATTTAAATATAAAATTATTTTGAAATATAAAATTCGAAAATTATTATCAAACAAAAAGTTATTCGATTTATTAATATCCAATAATTTCTGTTCAAGATCAAATTTCAAAACAATTGCAATTGATAATATTAAAAAACAACAAATGAATCATTTTTTCTATCGAATGATGATAGAATCCTACATGAATTTGTATTAAATGATAAAACTAACAGAAGTAATCTTTCATATAATCGATAATGACATGAATGTCTTAATCATGATTTTTGAGCTAAGACGTTTTTATATACAAAAACTAAGAATATATATCTCAATCTTCGCATATATTGAATTTGTACCAAATGATAATCTTTCATTTCTATCATGACTTCTATTTGAAGAACTTATTAAAAAAGAAATTTCGTTTTTCATAACAACGAAAAATGAAGCAAAAAAAAAGGATCCAATGAAAATTCTACTATTAATCATCAGATGATACTATCAACTTTTTTTTTATTATACCCATATGAGCTAATGTTGTAACTAAGTCAATAGCAAGCACTTTTTGAATAGATTCCAAATTGAATATTTTTCAAAGTGAACTTTTTGAACATGATGCTGCAAGAACAACTATAATTTGTTTTAATTTATTCAAGTTCATTTTTTATATTTTATGCTATTCTATGAATTTCATTTCAAATGAGTTGAATAACTATATCAATATCAGTTAATTACTGTTCTGATTTAAAAGTAAATAAATTTATTTTCCATCTAAAACTAATATAAGCTGAAGTAATAATTCTATCGATTGAAAGTTGAACTTATAAAATCAATCGACAAAAAACAAAATCAAAAATTTATCTGTCTATTGCTTGTCTTGTCGTTTGCTTGATTCATCTTCACCGATTAAATATTTATTTGGATCATCAGGTTTATTTTCAAGACCTTTGTAAAATTTCTTTTCAGCATCAGGATCTGTTTCACATGCTTTAAAATAATTCTCTTCACCAACAAAACATATCTAAATCAAACAAAAAAAAAAAGGAAAATATTTTTTCATTCAATAGAATATCCAAAAATTTAATATTTGAAAGATAGATACACCTAATAGTTGTAGAATACTGCCTGAGAAAAAATATTGAATAAAGAGTTTGATCTACGGAAAGCTATAAATATGATTGTATTACAAAGAATAAATATTATGTTTATATCGTAGAATAACTTATTATATATCTTGTTTATTTTAACTTTCGAGTACTGTGTCCCGTTTTGATAATAACATATGTATAACAAAGTAAAAAGAACGACTCTTTCAAAATCTTGTTTTTTTTTTCTTTGAATGAACGTTAAAGATTATCGAAATATACGATTCTTTTAAAATCTAAAGTTAATTATATAAATCTTACTTCATGTCCATCGGGATCGGATAAAATAACAACTTTATCTTTATTAAAATCTAATAAATCACCTAATTCCATAACTGGTATAAGTATATTATATCCTTCTTTTTCAATCATATTTTGTATTAATTCAACATCATTTGTTGCACAACAAAATGCTTTTCTACCATAACCAGTACCACGATCAATAGGTTGTTTAAGTTCAATTAATTCAAGTTGACATTGATTATCAACAAGAAAACCAGATTTTGTTTTAACTTTTGATTTTTGATTTGTTTTTAAACCATAATAAAGTTTAACATGATTATTATTTGATTCATTTTCATTTATTTTCATTTTTAATAAACGTGTATAATAATCAATAGATGTTTTTAAATTTGATACATTTAATGATAAACATTGAACAGGATCATCACCTGGATAAACATCTTGATCAAATAATATAAAACGATGACCATCAGGTGAACGTATTATTATTGATTGTTTATTATCTACTTCAATAAATTTCTTATCAAGAAATTGACGTGCATTTGAAACAGCTTGTCGATTATTTATTGTAACTGATGAAAAATCATTTCCATATTCATAACCTTCAACATCATAATTATAATTTAATTCAAAAACAAAAAATGAATTTTCATGTCCATAACCAGCCATTGTTTTTGACCATGGAGATTCAAAATCACCATTACATTGTGCTGCACAACCACTATCCATTTCTTCATGACGTAAAATTTTCATACCTAAGATATTACAAAAAAAATTTTTTGTTGCCAAACGATCCGTTATTTTCATTGTAAAATGAAGTAAACGTCGATCATCAGATGTAGATTCTTGAAGAGGAGTTCCATGCGACATTATTAGATTTTATTTTTGTTTCTAAATATAAAATGACGATTGTTTTTTTTTTAAAGTATGATAAGAGAATATAACATATGAAAATATGATATATGAGATGAGAATTTTTGGTTGGTTAAAAGAAGAACTAATCAGTTAACAGGAACATTGAAAAGTATATTGAAATTTTAATTTCATAGAGCAAAATAAGATAATTTTTTGTTGTGTGTTTTAATAAATATTGATTGTTTATCTTGTTTAATTAACATATATAACAAACAAACAGTTAAATTTTAAAAGTCGGATAATGGTGAAAATTTTTATATTGATTTGTCCTGAATAATTTTAAAAAAATGTTCTTTCAGGTATGACGATAAAGTTGCATAATTACAAGTATTTACAAAGTAACCGATAATTTTATATGCTTTAACATACTTTTCGATTGGTAGAGCACAAATAGAAGGTAAAAAATATTGTCTTTTTTTAAATTTTAATGAAACATAGTTCCGTTTTTTGTACTTGTTTCTTTGTAAGAATTAGTAGTCAAGATTTTTCTCTTTAAATTATGTTATATAAAACTTATTTTTTCTTTCTTGCATAGTATTGCGTTCATTTTAAGTCTCTTAATATGAAAAGTCGAATAACTGTTGTACTGTATGAAAATCAAATAGATATTTGTTTCAATTTGAAAGCTATATAAACGAATAAAAGAAATTCATTTTCAATGTTTTCATTAGAAAAGAACGGATTTATATAGAAGACACATTTTGTTCGAGAGTAAAGAACTTCCAAATTTTGAGCGCTATGCGCTTCGAAATAAAATATTCTGTTCGGGTAGAAAAGAGTTTTTATTGATTGATTTCGATCACTCTATATTGGAGTACTAACGTTTCAAATAAAGCTATGAACATTTTAGAAATCTCTCATTTCCAAGAGAGAGAGAACAATCTTTATCTTATTAAAAATTTCTTTTGAAAATCAGCTATTTATAAATCTTTTATGTATGAGTAGAAGATTTATTTTTAGAATTTGATATCATTATAACATAGTTTGTATTTTATCTATAAGAAGGATACATAAATATTGGTCTATAAAAAAATTGTTGTTGTTGTTGAACATCGTCTCTTTGTGTATATGCATTTATTATTCTTGTAACTGGTGGATGATTAACAATAAGCATTGGTGTTGTTAATTGTAATGGAGTATGTAGAAACATATTCATATGTTGTTGTTGTTGCTGATCAGATATCCATTGTTGATGAGTTTGTATTTGTTCTAAAGTTTGATGTTCGATTGCTTCTAATTGTTGTTGTGTTAACCATGCAAACTGATCAAATATTGAAAATTTTTGGTTTTCTATATTATTAGAAGAAGTTTGTTGTTCATTGTGAAATGTATTAAGTAAACGAGATGATGATGATGAATGAAGATCAACGGAATGATAACATTGTCGATCAATAGTTAAACCACCTGGTTGAAATTCTGAAACTACAGGAGCTTGAATTATACGTTCATAAATAATTTCTCGTGGCGGAGGTGGTTCATATGGTAACCATTTTTCAATAATAATTGATTGAGGTTTTGGTGGTAGCTAGAAGAGAGATTGTCAAATTTGAAATGAAAATTTTATTAAAACATGAAATACAATGCTACTAATCACAGGGAGATTATTTTGAGACACAATTCTTCATCATTATGATGATGTGCTGTTTTTCCCAAGCTATTGTAATTTTACTAAATTTTTTATCCACGACAAAGTTATTTGTAAAAAATCAAAGTAAAGTATTTCAACTTGAAAATTTGCCCAATGGTAGGTCTAGTGGATCTGAGAATACTCTAAAAGTTTCAACCTAAAGGGATGAGTTCTTCTTGAGATATTGAATATCTAAAAATAATCATGAGTTATAAGGAAAAGGTAAGAAGTTTAGTATTTTCAAAAGCAAGACATCATTTTCAGAACATTCTAATGTCCACAAGACCTACCTATAGACAAAACTGTAGGTTGAAATTTTGAAGTTCGATTGTTTCACATATACTTTTCTAGACATAAAAATAATTAAGTAATATTATAGTAACTTGGGAAGGACAGTACATAAGAACGAACTCTTATAGATTTCTAAACGAGGTTCAAATTTCTACGCCTATACTTCAACACTCATTTTAGATCGTATTTTACAAAATAGAAATTGTATAAATACCGAAGCATTATGTTCAAAAATCATACGTGGTAATAATGGAGGTTCTTGAGGTAGAACTTTAGTTATAATTTTAGTTTCTTCATGAGGTGGTGGTGATGGTGGAGCTTCACGAAAAA